AGAAACAAAATCTTCTTGAGAATGTAGGAAAGAAGAGGAGAAAGTGGAAAAAGAGGGAAAGGGAGCTCCAATTTGCCAGCATTCTTATAGTTCGAATAAATCATATTTAATATTTCGTGTGCACAATAGATTATTTTTTTCTATACCATAGTGACCAAATTCATTATTGAATTTGTTTGTTGAGAGAATAGGGAAAACAACTGCACTGCGAAAAGAACAAAAAGTCTCGAGTATCCAGTTGTAGGTTTCTTCATGTGTGAAACAAGCTTTTTTTTTTCGAACTATACAAATATCAAGGAAAATGGTTAAAATTTCTGCAAAAATGCTGTTTTATTGAAATAAGATTTTTATTACGATGAAACTAAATATAGGAGGCAATGAGATAGAGATGACATAAATTTACTCTAAATTATAAAGTGCTGATATTTTTCATAGATTATTTAACCGGGAAAACGGAGTTCTCTACTTAAGTGGATAATTGGACAAAATAAACAAAAACTCATAAATTATATGGATTGAAAACAATTCTTCAGTGCTAGGATACAACATGTAAGGATGAGATTTTTTTAGAACTTTCTTGAAACAGAGAGCTGGTAAAAGAGTTAAATTTTCAAATTTATTCCAGCATTATTTTGACGAAAACTTAGAGTAAATTTGTGTCTTCTCTATCTCATTGCCTCCGATATTTAAAACAATTCCTTTACCTTTTGTTTATTGAGAAAAGAAACAAAAAGAAAAAGAGCTAATGGGTGGAACAGAAAAAGACTCGAGGCTCTCTTCCGCTAATTTCCTTTTTTCATCTTACCACCTCAATATTGCAAAAATCGTTTTTTCATGGTAACTTTTTCTGCAAGCTGTGATGTCTACTAATGATGCACTTTAGCTCAACTTAGTCTTAAATCAAAATCAATAAGTGCATGAAAGAAATGATGTTAGTTTTGAGGATTATTGTTGCCAGAATGCATTGGGATAATTCGAGTCCTATTACCTGCACTTTTTCATTAAGTCAACTAGTAATGACGGCTTTACGGCTGAAAATAATTTTGCTCAAAAAAATGTTGCACGCATAAAGTAGTATAAGCTGCTTTCGACCTAGGTTGAACTTTTATCATCAATTTCAGTCCTACCTGAGGAAGGGGTTTTATTATCATTTATAGTTTGAATTCATAAATTTTCTGTACTGCAAATAAAATAAAAGCAAAAAAATAAAAAATAGGCAGTCTTTGTAGGAAGTTGCATTTTCCTCTGGTGATATGGATTATTATTTATTCGATAGCAGTTTGAAATGATATGCTTATTTCATATTTAGTTGCGCTAGTTTAGTATTCACCATTAAAAAATTGCAAGCGACACAAATTGAAATGATTTTTATATTTCAACGATAAATATTGAAATCTGCAGAACATGTTGAATGTTTACGATTGAGGTCATATTTCCAAAAAAATTATTTTGAAGGAAATTTTTTTTGTGTGTTAGGAAAATGCAAATATTGGAAAGGAAAACAAGAAAGGCATTAGTAGTAAATTATTGCAATATTGCAATTAATCTGTTAATAATAATACTTTACAAAAAGGAATGAGAATTTTAGACAGTTTCATAAATAAGCAATCTGACTGATTATTGGAAGGACATATTCAATTTATTGATAATGCTATTAATTCAGATTCAAATGTTATATTTTATTCTAAGGCTGAGTTTTTAGCGGTTCTTCTGTTTCTTAGTTATATTTATGGCAAACATTCTTTATATTAACTTTTTTTTCTTTGCAATCATTTTTTGCTCTAAATAGTTTGTGCAACTGATCTTGTGCTTTCTGTTTTTATTAATTAATTTGCTTCTTGTGATGCTATTTATTTTTTTGTTTACTTGTTTACTGTTATATGATTCTGTTCATAATTGTCATTCAGATTGTTCCGTTACGTATGTTTTTTTCTATGATGAGACGGGAATGCTTAATAAATATTTCCTCAATATTGTTTTTGTTTAAAAACCATTAAATCCGCAAATAATCGGAGCTGTTTGAAGGCACTAACGAAACATAACGGAAATAGAATATGTTCAAATATTTTATCAAGAGAACATATATGAATTATACTGTTTTGGTGAGACCTGATTGACCTCATGGCTGATCATTGCTGTGGATGAGGGAGGATGGGATCCAGCCAACTGAAATTCTCTTGAAACATAGGTTTTACATGCACACAATTCAGATAGAAGAAATGGATTTTCAAGTGTTATTTAACTAATTCAAAATTACATTTAAATTGTTTCGATTCACTTTGTAGGTTCTTTCATCTGTTTGTATTTTTGGTAAATGATGCAGCGTACTATTGCAGATCTTTAAAAGTGCTTGCTCTATTGAATTAATAAATTTTCGCAATTTTAGCAATATGATTAAAGAAGAAGAAGAAGCTTCTACATCACAGGCAGATGTCCTTGCTGTTTTGGCGAGTAATGAGGATGGTTTAAGTAATGAAGACTTGATGAAGCAAACTGCGGGGATGGATGTCAAAGCACGTGGTGAAGCAGTTAATGCCTTGTTGTCATCAGGTAAAATCGAAATGTTACCTGGTCATACACCTGGCGCATTTATCTTACGTCTAAGAAAAGGTACACAAATTGCCGATGCTACGCACGAGGAACAGTTGGTAAACAGTTCTTCGATTTTGATCATGTTTCACGCATTTTTTATCTTTAAGTAACTGCTGAGAATACATTAAAATCATACTGAATGGCTAGATAGTTTAAGCTTACAATAATTGGTTTTAATCTTTAACACTTGCATTTCCATCTCTATTCGTTTTGATATAGCGTGACATTTCTCATCATACTTTCGCTATTGTTAAGTTTTTCAATATTCAATGCTTTCAGATCGATTTTTCATGTATTACTCTATTTGAACTTCAAATAAATTTGTTTTCCAGATTTATTCACTAATTGAAGAATCGGGTAAAAAAGGTATTTGGATAAGGGACATTCGTGATCGGACTGGTTTATCACAAACACAAATGCGTAAAGTTCTAAAAGTATTAGAACAACGCAAACTTGTTAAATCCATTAAAGTTTCTTTTTTTTTCTATTTTTTGATCTATCATTATACATTTTATATATTTAAGTAAAGTTCTTGCTACTATATCAATTCCCATCAGATTTGATTTTCCACTGCAACGGAAACCTTTTTAAGTAACGTTTTAGTGGTTCTCTTCTTCCAAAACAAAGCAATTTACCCATTTATCTGTTTTTGGAATAATATGATGTATTTGAATTGCATCATTTTTAAATAATCGTTGTCCATATTAACAAAATCTTGACACTAGAAAATGTTTCTATTAACTGAAACATCAATGCAGATGCATTCTAATTGATGTGGAATAGCATTTTTTTTTGCAGGCGGTAGGTACGACAAAAAAATGCTATATGTTGTATGATGTTGTGGCGGATGAATCGTTGACAGGTGGAACATTCTATTCTGACCAACAGCTGGATTCGCAGTTCGTCGAAACTCTGGCACATATTTGCGTGGCGATGTTGCAGGTGGATTTTTATGGTGACATAGTTATGCCAAACAAAGTAAGATTGAAGCAACTAAAATTCGGATTTATTCCTATCTATTTCTAAGAAGAGATTTGTAGAGCAATATTCGTTCTATATTTGTTTTAAATCTACTCCGAAAATTTCGAAAACGTTCTGAACAATTCGTTACTAAGTTTTTTAAAATACTATTCAGATTTGAATCACTAATGTAAGCATAGCGAGCTAGAATGAGATATTGATGTCATATCTTATTTTTCATTTGAAAACTATGAAATATGAATTTTATTTATACGTTAATGACTTCTTATTTGTTACAGGCGAGCTAAAATTAGATTTTTAACTTTGAATAAAAAAAAAAGTATTATAGAGCAAGAGGAAATTCTCTGAAGATAACCACAAAAATGATCCTGCAGCTGCTCGGGAATTTGCATTTGTCCATTCCGCCGAGGTGGCGCAATTCATTCGCGAAAAGGGTGTTTCTCGTGTGCAACTGAATATTGCGGATATTGAAAGTATCCTATCAGTAGCACTGTTGGATGGTTTGATTGAACGACGCGCAGATGGTATGTATCGTGCCCTGATAGCTAAGACGACCCGTTGTGCTCCATCTCTTTGTCCTTGTATTCACTGTCCTGTTGAGGCTGATTGTAGACCAGGCTATATAATATCACCGCAGAATTGTGAATATTTTTCAAGTTGGTTAAGTTGGTAGCAATCGGACATATCAAATTATGAAGTTGTTTTGTCTGAGATCGCCAGAATCTTGTCTTATGTAATATATCTTACGATGCTTAAACTCAATATGTTTTGTGTTTTTTATATTCTTATTATGTTTATAAATATTCTTGGGTTGTTTTTTTATCCTGAATTTTTGTTGTGAAAAATAAACTTTTTATTTTTTTCTCTCTTGCATTTATTTGTTAAAATTTGCTTGGTTTTTCAAAATTATAGAAGTTCTCCAAAATTAAACAAACACTGTATCACTTGCGATAATCTCTGTCATAAAATTGCGTTATGTAGCAATAAGCGTAGAAAAAATCATTTTTTTACTGGTACCGTAAAGAGTTCTTCCATTTTTGGAGTAGAAAACAAGTTAAGGAAATCATTATATGCATGGCAGTGTTCAGTTCCCTCAGACGAGATTCACATTCCATCTCAGATGAAAAATTTTTCATCGGCAGATAAAAAATGTACACATCTAATGAATAGTAGAGTTTAATTGTTTGTTGAAGAGATAGTAAAGAATTCTTGAAACCACTTAAAAATTCCACTGGATCATAATTTAGCATCATAATTTTGTAAGTTAAATAATTTCGTAGTATACTATTTAAACATTCTTGCTTTCTTTGCTTTCAATTCATCCATTTAGTGCTATAGAAGAGTTCTTCAAATCATAATTACTAATCCAAATTAGACTAATCTAGCAAAAAATCTCCAATCTTCGATTTTCTTTCTCCTCCTATTCACAATTAGACTACTTGAGGATGTATTTCCTTCCAGTAAAAATTGGAAATTATAAATCTGCCTGTATGTATCAAAGATCAAAAACTTTAGACTGAGTTTAATTTTACTTTTCCACTGATCATATTGAAGAGAAAAGGAATATATTTAGTATTTTTAAAGTAAACTCTCTATTACTTTTTAAAAATAAAATCTTTTAAAATCGAGCACAATTTGTGATCATTTTATTATTTTTGAAGTTTCGAAATTTACCAATTATGCATTCAGTTCATTGCATTATACGAGATTGAAAATTTGAAATTGCCCTATTCATTGCTATTTATTTACCATATGAATTTAAAATAGCGCTATTTTACCTCCAATGCTCTTCATTCAATTTATAATGTAATAACTTTGACATTTGATTTTTGCCAGAAATTGTTCTCCTAAAAAGCAAGAAATGAAAAGTCAAAAATGATATCATCATCGAATCGATTAAAGTTGCTAGTTAAGATATTTGTCAATGATTATTGATAGCTGAATTGAGCGATGAGTATCGGTAAGAATCCTCAGCATCCTTCACCTGCTGATCTTCATGTCATATTAGAAATGGAAAAAACATGGATTTCGATAAAATATCATTTTGAATCATAGGAGAAATGAATTGATCTTTAGGATTTTCATGTTTAAAATTTTTTTTGTAATAAATTGAACTTTGAATTCAGTAAGCATATTTTTCTTGATCTTCTTGACCATTGGCATATTTTGACATTGCAGATCACAGAAAAATAAACAAGTGAAAAAGCAAGAATGCATTTCGTTTTTTTTTCTATTTTTCTAAAATTTTACATTTGTTTCCATTAAAATGATAAGTTTTGGGTTATTTTAATGAAAAAGGAAAAAAAGAGGAAGGATAAACTAAGTAGGAAACAATTTTATTTTGAAAATACAATTCATTTCATTACTAGTGATGATCATGGTTTTGGAAAAAATAAAATATATTATAGCGAAATTTGAATAGAATGTTTAGCAATTCATCGAAAAAAAGTATGTTTTCAAATTTTATTTCAATTGAATATTTTAGCTCAAATCTGAACCAAAAAATCAATTTGTACTGTTAAAAGTTTGAGAATAAAAAAGCAACACTGATGATTGATATTCTCGATGATTTTAATAATTCTGGTTGCAATTCGAAACGGAATTGAACTCTTTCACTTCAAAATAGCTTCAATGAAACATCAATTGGAAGAAATGACATTTGAGAGATGGAAGGTAGCTGCTAAATGATGATTTCGCACAATAAGCGAATGATTTTAATTGCAATTAATTAAAATTGAATAAATTAGAAGGCTTCCTTCATTTTTGCAGCCATTCGACGGGATCTCTCCTCATTTCCAACATTACCTTCATTTTTATTCAACATTACCATCCATCTCATATATGTCATTAGCTTCCTGTTTTAATAAAATAATGGTTAGATGGATTAGACATTAAATCACTATGAATAGTATCAACTTTACTATCCCCTTTGTAATAATCACAGCGCTCTCTGAAGTCAGTATTGAATAATTTCATTGTTTTAATTAACTATTAAAAATTTTGTTATGCATTTCTAAAATGTTTTGAATATTTTATTCCTGAAATTAAATTTGTTTGAATTGAGTGAGTTGTAGAAGTAATTGCTAATTAAACCTATTTTCATAGAGATTTAGTTAACGTACCAAACTTTGTCTGAGCAATGCACACTTTCGAAAAAAAAAACAAGTTGGACTATTTTATAAGTCTCATAAGCATTAAAGTTACTGCCAAAATCATAAATGATAGCGGTAAAGGGAATGATAATTTGGTAACAATAACAAATCTATCGATTTTTCAAGTTCCTCGGAGTATTTATCAATTTAGTTAAATGTGTCAACGATAAGAAGTGCTTCTGTTTAGTTAGGAGGTGTTAATTATAGTACGTAAATGATTATGGAAAATGATACTATCAGATCAAATAACATTCAATAAAATTGAAAAAGAGAGATGAAAAATAACTTATGAACGCCTCTTTTTTTAGAGTTCAAATTTTCCGTTAGACCTGAAAATGTAGCAATCATAGCATTATTTTTAGTATTGCACTCCAACGTTCAAATCTTTAATCTTTAAAACGTATTTTTTGAAAAAAAATTGAAACTACAATTGTAACTGTTTTTTAATTTCGCTTGCAGCATAATACAAATTTAAAATTCAAATATTTATCATATTGTATTTAAAAACGCACGAAATATCGCAACTGAAGCGTCAGAATTAATTCTGTAATATAGGAATTTTGATGTATATTACAGCCATGATACACTTTACTTTTAGATCCACAGGAGAACGGTTCATAAGAGTGAATTGAATGTAAAATGGACGAAAATTCTGAAAGAAAAATTCAATCAAAAAGGAATCAAACAACCATTAAAGAAAAGAAAAAAACGTTGGAAAATTTTTCAGATATGAAAGAATATGAAGGGAATATTATTACATGTATGATTTGATTAAATATTTTAAAGCTATTGAAAAGCAAAATGATAGAGTAACAGCTGATTGTTTACTGCAAAAGAATGGAAAATTTAAAAATTAAATTAAACATTGAAAGTGATCAAGTGATGAGATACTTCCAATGGCACTGATAACATAGCCTAATTGTTAACAATCATTAAATTGGTAGCATTGAAATGTAATCGACAAATAGTTGGAAAATCAGAGTATGAAAATCTCGATAACTTGAGGACATATGAAGCAGAGAAATAGTTGAATGATAGAGTAAAACAATTGAATGTGTAAGAGAGAGAGAGAGAGAGAGAGGGAGAGAGGGAGAGAGGGAGAGAAAAGCCAAGTGAGATTATTGATATTTATAAGAATAGGAAGAATCTCGAGCTCAAAGCCTGAGGTGCTAAAAGAGAACAATCAGTGCAGAGTGGAATAAAAAGGATGCTAAGAGAGGAATTGCAGATTTGCTAAGGTGGTAATTTGTTTCCCTCTTCGCTTCGTCCTACTGTCCCTCTCATTTTCCCTGATATTTTCATTCGTCCATCACTACTATCACTACTAACCAAGTGTACCCGATCGCCATCATCGTCATCATTACCATCATCATATCATCGCTACCACCACCACCATCACCACACCGGCATCACCAATACTATCACTGCTACCGCTAGCACTACTATAATTGTCACCGTCACTGTCACCGTCACCGTCACCGTCACCGTCACCGCCATCATCATCATCATCGGAATCCTTCCTATCAAAAGTATTGCGGTCAATTATTGCGCACTCGCTCAATCTATCTGTCTGTGTGGGTGTATGTATGTGCACACTCATCCAATTGTATTGGTATAGTTGTTATTTGTGTACACATTGGTGATATAAATGCTCTTCTCAGGAAGTTCTTCAGCAAAAGTAAAAAAGGATGAGAAAAAAGAGAAGAAATTAGAAAAAGGTATAACTTTTATCTCTTCATTTCAATCTCTCATTGAATATAGCTTAATTAATTTGCAACTTATCATTTGTTCACTAATTATCTTGCAATTGTTTCCTAATTATGCAAGTCACTTTTCAGATAATCACTTATCCATTTCTCTTTCTGATTTTTTTTTCATTTAAAACTTTATTTCATATTAAAAATTTTAAACAATATACTTAAACAGTTAATTGATACTTAAAATCAAAAACTTGTCAATTAATAATCAAAATATTTATAACACTTACTTTCCTTCTCAATCAATTTGGAAATAATTAATTGAAAAAATTTATCGTAGAAAGTTTTTTCCAAGTAACTTACCCATAATTTTAGTCAACTTATCTAAATGAAGTGTCTCTCTTACAATATCTTCCTCTATTATGCAAAATTAAGAAATGTAATTATTTGAAATAGGACGAATGGATCTGTTTAAAGAATACTTAGTCTATTTGATTAGGCATTCTTATCAGAAATGATAAGAATGCTTTATTTTGGAAAAGTTGAACTTCTTTTTTTTATTCATTGCTATATCAGTTGAAATAAATTGTTTTATTCATTCAAAGCATTTTTTTTATTCCAAAGTAGATATTAAATTTTAAAGTGAACTTTGCATCTCACCAATTTAATAATGTAATATTAGCTAATAAAATAATATTAATCAAATAACCAAGTCTTTGAGGGATTTAAAATAAATTAATTTGTGCAAAAATATTAATATTTAAAAAATAAATCTTTTTATCTCTTTTGCTCGAAAAAAGTTGCTTCCTCACAACAAAGCTAAC